GTCTCTCTGTTAAAACAGATGAATAAATGAACTAATGTTCTCTGTGTCTTGTTCTCAGCTCTTTGTGAGGTGGAGGCATTTGTGACAACGGGAGGAGAGACAGGGAGGGGTGAGGCTGGACAGGGGAGGGAGGGGGGGGAGGGAGAGAAGGGAGAGGAGGGAGGCAGGGGAGGGAGGAGAAGGAGGGTAGGGAGGAGAGGGAGGGGAGGGAGGAGATGGAAGGAAGACAGCAGCTCTATGGAGGACAGCAGTGAAGAGACACATGAGGAACCAGGCCTGTCCCACTGTCTGGGTGAGTAATGTAGACCAGAGAGAGACCAGAGTGAGACCAGAGAGACCAGAGAGAGACCAGAGAGAGACCAGAGAGAGAGACCAGAGAGAGACCAGAGAGAGACCAGAGAGAGACCAGAGAGAGAGACCAGAGAGAGAGACCAGAGAGAGACCAGAGAGATAGAGACCAGAGAGAGAGACCAGAGAGAGACCAGAGAGAGACCAGAGAGAGAGACCAGAGAGAGAGACCAGAGAGAGAGACCAGAGAGAGAGACCAGAGAGAGACCAGAGAGAGAGACCAGAGAGAGACCAGAGAGATAGAGACCAGAGAGAGAGACCAGAGAGAGACCAGAGAGAGACCAGAGAGAGAGACCAGAGAGAGACCAGAGAGAGAGACCAGACAGAGACCAGAGAGAGACCAGAGAGATAGAGACCAGACCGTTCATGACCTTTTGCTAAAACTCTCCTCTTTCTGAAGTCGTCGCCGGCGGCAACATAAACGTGGACCTGAAGTGCTTTGAGTTTATATTCAAAAGGTCAGTCTCAGTATACATGTCTCAGTATACATGTCTCAGTATACATGTCTCAGTCTACATGTCTCAGTCTACATGTCTCAGTATACATGTCTCAGTATACATGTCTCAGTATACATGTCTCAGTCTACATGTCTCAGTCTACATGTCTCAGTATGCATGTCTCAGTATACATGTCTCAGTATACATATCTCTGTATACATGTCTCAGTATACATGTCTCAGTCTACATGTCTCTGTATACATGTCTCAGTATACATGTCTCAGTCTACATGTCTCAGTATACATGTCTCAGTATACGTGTCTCAGTATACGTGTCTCAATATACATGTCTCAGTCTACATGTCTCAGTTTACATTTCTCAGTATACATGTCTCAGTATACATGTCTCAGTCTACATGTCTCAGTATACATGTCTCAGTATACATGTCTCAGTATACATGTCTCAGTCTACATGTCTCAGTCTACATTTCTCAGTATACATGTCTCAGTCTACATGTCTCAGTATACATGTCTCAGTATACATGTCTCAGTATACGTGTCTCAGTATGTCTCAGTATACATGTCTCAGTATACGTGTCTCAGTATGTCTCAGTATACATGTCTCAGTCTACATGTCTCAGTATACATGTCTCAGTATACATGTCTCAGTATACGTGTCTCAGTATGTCTCAGTAAACATGTCTCAGTATACGTGTCTCAGTATGTCTCAGTATACATGTCTCAGTATACGTGTCTCAGTATGTCTCAGTATACATGTCTCAGTATACGTGTCTCAGTATACATATTTTTTCCATAGAGTCATCTCAAAAGCCTCTCCTCTCTGTCGGGCTGTGGATCCAGAGGTGTTCTTCATCGACTGTTCTGAAGCCTGAGAGAGAGAGACCCGAGAGAGACCAGAGAGAGACCAGAGAGAGACCAGAGAGAGAGACCAGAGAGAGAACAGAGAGAGAGACCCGAGAGAGACCCGAGAGAGAGACCAGAGAGAGAGAGACCAGAGAGAGACCACAGAGAGAGAGACCAGAGAGAGACCACAGAGAGACCAGAGAGAGAGAGACCAGAGAGAGACCAGAGAGAGAGACCAGAGAGAGACCACAGAGAGACCAGAGAGAGAGAGACCAGAGAGAGACCAGAGAGAGAGACCAGAGAGAGACCACAGAGAGACCAGAGAGAGAGACCAGAGAGAGAGACCAGAGAGAGAGAGACCGGAGAGAGAGACCAGAGAGAGACCACAGAGAGAGAGACCAGAGAGAGACCGGAGAGAGACCACAGAGAGAGACCAGAGAGAGACCACAGAGAGACCAGAGAGAGAGAGACCAGAGAGAGACCAGAGAGAGAGACCAGAGAGAGACCAGAGAGAGACCACAGAGAGACCAGAGAGAGACCACAGAGAGAGACCAGAGAGAGACCAGAGAGAGAGACCAGAGAGAGAGAGACCACAGAGAGACCACAGAGAGACCAGAGAGAGACCAGAGAGAGACCAGAGAGAGACCAGAGAGAGACCAGAGAGAGACCAGAGAGAGACCAGAGAGAGACCAGAGAGAGAGACCAGAGAGAGAGACCAGAGAGAGACCAGAGAGAGAGACCAGAGAGAGACCAGAGAGAGACAGAGAGAGACCAGAGAGAGACCAGAGAGAGAGACCAGAGAGAGACCAGAGAGAGAGACCAGAGAGAGAGACCAGAGAGAGGGACCAGAGAGAGAGACCAGAGAGAGAGACCAGAGAGAGACCAGAGAGACCAGAGAGAGAGACCAGAGAGAAAGACCAGAGAGAGAGACCAGAGAGAGACCAGAGAGAGACCAGAGAGAGAGACCAGAGAGAGGGACCAGAGAGAGAGACCAAAGAGAGAGACCAGAGAGAGACCAGAGAGACCAGAGAGAGACTACAGAGAGACCACAGAGAGAGAGAGACCCCAGAGAGAGAGACCAGAGAGAGACTAGAGAGAGAGAGACCACAGAGAGACCAGAGAGAGACCCCAGAGAGAGAGAGACCACAGAGAGAGACCAGAGAGAGAGACCAGAGAGAGACTAGAGAGAGAGAGACCACAGAGAGACCAGAGAGAGACCCCAGAGAGAGAGAGACCACAGAGAGAGAGACCAGAGAGAGATTATGTGGTGGTCTGGCTCTGAATAGGATAAAGTCAGGTACCTCAGCTTTAATCATGTCTGATCCTGAAATGTTGTAATGAAAGACTGTGAATAAAAGTCCATTCAAAATGTGTTTGTCTCGTCCATCCATCCATCCATTTTCTACCCTTTAATCCATTTCTGGATCAGGGGGGTGGCAGTCAGAGATGCCACCCAAGTCTCATAGCACCAGCCCCTGTGTTTGTCTCGTGTTCATGTTAAACTATAAATATACGTTATTAATCTGACAGAGAACTGGACCTGTGTCAGCCCGGACAGAACACTCAGGTTTTCAGTCCTAATGCAGTGACTTAAAGTGACTTGTTGTACAGTCTGACAGCGGTGGGGGCCCTGCTCCTTCTTCCACTGAAGGAGCTCCTCAGCTCCTCCTCAGTCCTGTGCAGGAGGTGTTGTTCATGATGGAGGTGGCTTTGACTAGCACCTCCTGTCCCTCACCTCCTCCACAGAGTCCAGAGGCCTCCTGTCCCTCACCTCCTCCACAGAGTCCAGGGGCCTCCTGTCCCTCACCTCCTCCACAGAGTCCAGGGGCCTCCTGTCCCTCACCTCCTCCACAGAGTCCAGGGGCCTCCTGTCCCTCACCTCCTCCTGACCAGCTTGTTCAGTCTGTTTCTGTCCCGCTCTGTGCTGCCCGGGGCCCAGCACACGGCAGCGTAGCCGCACGTACTGTGGTCGGTATGAGAGGTAGTTGATGGTGCATGCAGTGAGGTAGTTGATGGTCCATGCAGTGAGGTAGTTGATGGTCCATGCAGTGAGGTAGTTGATGGTCCATGCAGTGAGGTAGTTGATGGTCCATGCAGTGAGGTAGTTGATGGTCCATGCAGTGAGGTAGTTGATGGTCCATGCAGTGAGGTAGTTGATGGTCCATGCAGTGAGGTAGTTGATGGTCCATGCAGTGAGGTCTGATGGTGTTGAAAGCACTGGAGAAGTCAAGAACATGACCCTCACAGCGCCCCCTGCAGGCTCCAGGTGGGAGAGCGTCCGCTGCAGGAAGTAGATGACGGCGTCCTCTACTCCGATGTTGGGCCTGTAGGCGAACTGCAGCGGGTCTTCATCAGGAGGTCAGTGCTCCATGGTCTTCATCAGGAGGTCAGTGCTCCATGGTCTTCATCAGGAGGTCAGTGCTCCATTGTCTTCATCAGGAGGTCAGTGCTCCATGGTCTTCATCAGGAGGTCAGTGCTCCATGGTCTTCATCAGGAGGTCAGTGCTCCATGGTCTTCATCAGGAGGTCAGTGCTCCATGGTCTTCATCAGGAGGTCAGTGCTCCATGGTCTTCATCAGGAGGTCAGTGCTCCATGGTCTTCATCAGGAGGTCAGTGCTCCATGGTCTTCATCAGGAGGTCAGTGCTCCATGGTCTTCATCAGGGGGTTAGTGCTCCATGGTCTTCATCAGGAGGTCAGTGCTCCATGGTCTTCATCAGGAGGTCAGTGCTCCATGGTCTTCATCAGGAGGTCAGTGCTCCATGGTCTTCATCAGGAGGAGGTCAGTGCTCCATGGTCTTCATCAGGAGGTCAGTGCTCCATGGTCTTCATCAGGAGGAGGTCAGTGCTCCATGGTCTTCATCAGGAGGAGGTCAGTGATCCATGGTCTTCATCAGGAGGTCAGTGCTCCATGGTCTTCATCAGGAGGTCAGTGCTCCATGGTCTTCATCAGGAGGAGGTCAGTGCTCCATGGTCTTCATCAGGAGGAGGTCAGTGCTCCATGGTCTTCATCAGGAGGTCAGTGCTCCATGGTCTTCATCAGGAGGAGGTCAGTGCTCCATGGTCTTCATCAGGAGGAGGTCAGTGATCCATGGTCTTCATCAGGAGGTCAGTGCTCCATGGTCTTCATCAGGAGGTCAGTGCTCCATGGTCTTCATCAGGCGTCAGTGCTCCATGGTCTTCATCAGGCGTCAGTGCTCCATGGTCCTCATCAGGAGGTCAGTGCTCCATGGTCTTCATCAGGAGGTCAGTGCTCCATGGTCCTCATCAGGACTAAAGCAGGACTAATGGGGCAGTGTTGGAGAAGGAATGCACTCTGAGTTATGTATTAGAGAAAGAGTTAAAAGGCAGAATCAGAAACACACAAAGTCAGACTCAGCTCCGAGGATGGAGGGATGACAGATGAACGATAGGATGGAGGGATGACAGATGAACGATAGGATGGAGGGATGACAGATGAACGATAGGATGGAGGGATGACAGATGAACGATAGGATGGAGGGATGACAGATGAACGATAGGGTGGAGGGAAGACAGATGAACGATAGGATGGAGGGATGACAGATTAACGATAGGATGGAGGGATGACAGATGAACGATAGGATGGAGGGATGACAGATGAACGATAGGATGGAGGGATGACAGATGAACGATAGGATGGAGGGATGACAGATGAACGATAGGATGGAGGGATGACAGATGAACGATAGGATGGAAGGATGACAGATGAACGATAGGATGGAGGGATGCAAGATGAACGATAGGATGGAGGGACGACAGATGAACGATAAGAAGGAGGGATGACAGATGAACGATAGGATGGAGGGATGACATATGAACGATAGGATGGAAGGATGACAGATGAACAATAGGATGGAGGGATGACAGATGAACGATAGGATGAAAGGATGACAGATGAACGATAGGATGGAGGGATGACAGATGAACGATAGGATGGAGGGATGACAGATGAACGATAGGATGGAGGGATGACAGATGAACGATAGGATGGAGGGATGACAGATGAACGATAGGATGGAGGGATGACAGATGAACGATAGGGTGGAGGGATGACAGATGAACGATAGGATGGAGGGATGACAGATGAACGATAGGATGGAAGGATGACAGATGAACGATAGGATGGAGGGATGCAAGATGAACGATAGGATGGAGGGACGACAGATGAACGATAAGAAGGAGGGATGACAGATGAACGATAGGATGGAGGGATGACATATGAACGATAGGATGGAAGGATGACAGATGAACAATAGGATGGAGGGATGACAGATGAACGATAGGATGAAAGGATGACAGATGAACGATAGGATGGAGGGATGACAGATGAACGATAGGATGGAAGGATGACAGATAAACGATAGGATGGAAGGATGACAGATGAACGATAGGATGGAAGGATGACAGATGAACGATAGGATGGATGGATGACAGATGAACGATAGGATGGAGGGATGGCAGATGAACGATAGGATGGAGGGATGAAAGATGAACGACAGGATGGAGGGCTGACAGATGAACGATAGGATGAGGGATGACAGATGAACGATAGGATGGAGGGATGACAGATGAACGGTAGGATGGAGGGATGACAGATGAACGATAGGATGGAGGGATGACAGATGAACGATAGGATGGAGGGATGGCAGATGAACGATAGGATGGAAGGATGACAGATTAACGATAGGATGGAGGGATGACAGATGACAGATGAACGATAGGATGGAAGGATGACAGATGAACGATAGGATGGAGGGATGACAGATGAACGATAGGATGGAGGGATGACAGATGAACGATAGGATGGAGGGATGACAGATGAACGATAGGATGGAGGGATGACAGATGAACGATAGGATGGAGGGTTGACAGATGAACAATAGGATGGAGGGATGACAGATGAACGATAGGATGGAAGGATGACAGATGAACAATAGGATGGAAGGATGACAGATGAACGATAGGATGGAGGGATGACTGATGAACGATAGGATGGAGGGATGACAGATGAACGATAGGATGGAAGGATGACAGATGAACGATAGGATGGAAGGATGACAGATGAATGATAGGATGGAGGGATGACAGATGAACGATAGGATGGAAGGATGACAGATTAACGATAGGATGGAAGGATGACAGATGAACGATAGGATGGAAGGATGACAGATGAACGATAGGATGGAGGGATGACAAATGAACGATAGGATGGAGGGATGACAGATGAACGATAGGATGGAGGGATGACAGATGAACGATAGGATGGAAGGATGACAGATGAACGATAGGATGGAAGGATGACAGATGAACGATAGGATGGAAGGATGACAGATGAACGATAGGATGGAGGGATGACAGATGAACGATAGGATCAAAGGATGACAGATGAACAATAGGATGGAGGGATGACATATGAATGATAGGATGGAGGGATGACAGATGAACTATAGGATGGAGGGATGACAGATGAATGATAGGATGGAGGGATGACAGAATGACAGATGAACGATAGGATGGAAGGATGACAGATGAACGATAGGATGGAGGGATGACAGATGAACGATAGGATGGAGGGATGAAATGAAATGGAGGAAAGATCAAGAGGCTTTTGGAGGATTTGAAGAAGGGCAAAAGAGCAGATTTACCAGGTAGGGAAAGTTATGTCAGTATAATAATTGACTTTGTATGTAACGTTTTTTCAATGTTTTTAGGACACTGTGCCAAGTATGACAGCTACAGCCTAATGGAACATGAGAGTGAGAAGGTGCTTGACATACAAACAGTACAGGTATGTCTAATAATAATTATTTCACCATTTATTGTATTTTCATTACAAATAAAAACAAATGTGTTTCCTTAGAGCAATGAGGTAGGAAGGAGTTTTTACATGGAAAAAAAAGAGTCTTGAAGTGGACTATTGTGCCACTGACTGTCACACACAAGTCAAAACGTTTCTACTGTAACCCAATACTACGATGTCTGGCATCTGGAGAAAGGTTTGGAATTGATTTTGGGTGAATAGAATACCTGTATAGGTGTTATCGATTATAAATGTAGATTTGTATATTATAGGTGTATCCAAAAATTGGGACAAGTTGTTGAAAGAGAAATGGTGCCAGGTGGTGAAAAAAAGGGCTGCAGGCATAAAAAAAATACATAGTGGGTTGCATCAACATCTAAGACAGGATCTGAGAAAGTGGAAAAATGGACATCCAACATTCAAAATGTTTACACTCATCACATGGTAAACAGGAACACAGAACTCTGTCAAAGTTAAATTATGGTTCTTTAAACCAGGAAGAAACCAATTGATTGTTTTCTCAGAGTATGCCCCATTGTACAAAGACATCAGAGACATCAGAGACATCAGAGCAGCAGACATCAGAGACATCAGAGACATCAGAGACATCAGAGCAGCAGACATCAGAGACATCAGAGACATCAGAGCAGCAGACATCAGAGACATCAGAGACATCAGAGCAGCAGACATCAGAGCACCAGACATCAGAGACATCAGAGCAGCAGACATCAGAGACATCAGAGACATCAGAGCACCAGACATCAGAGCTGGAGGCGTTTCATAGCGTTAGTCTTTGTAATAATTAAGTGTACAAATCCTGTTTACATTGAAACTGTTTTTTGCAGGTTGTTTTTGGCAGGAATGCACTAAAATGAAAATGTCAAACGTGGGCAAGATTCTTCAAAAGGGCAGTCTTTAAAGTTTCCAACGCAAAGTACATCAAAGGAAAGCCAACAGCAAAGCCAACACTTGGTAACAAAATAACACTGGGTTAGGGTTAGGGTTAGGGTTAGGGTTATTTTACACTACAATAATGTAATAATATATTATTACAGAGGCTGACCAGGATAGAAAGCCAATTCACTTTGGAGAGACCCAAGAGGGAAAATGCAGTTAGAAGTTTGTTGATTAAGCATGTTTGGCGCCCTAGGCCCGGGAGAGATGCTGATGAGTGCGGCGCTTGCTCGCGCGCATAATCCCCCCCGGGGCCTAGGCACTGGTGACGGCAGAGGCAGTAGGCAAGCACGCTTCGATGAGAGAAGGAGGAGGTGGGGCGGCGGAGGCTTTGCAAACTTCAGAAGGCTGGGAAGTGGGAGTCTCCGGCTTTTAACTTGCTGTCCTGGTGGTTATTGGTGGATTAGATGTGGGCGTTTTGCTGGTGTAATGAGTAGAGGATGAGCAGGCTTGTAGATCTGGCAGCAGTGTCCGGGTCTACCACAGTGAACTTTCGCGAAGAGCTTCATTTCACTTTGGAGAGACCCAAGAGGGAAAATGCAGTTAGAAGTTTGTTGATTGAGTATGTTTGGCGCCCTAGGCCCGGGAGAGATGCTGATGAGTGCGGCGCTTGCTCGCGCGCATAATCCCCAAAAAACGGGCAGAGTTATCTTTGTGCACCGGGACGTGAGCGCTCGCTTCACAATCAACCGGACGCTGCCTGGGACGTGAGCGCTCGCATCACGATCGATACCAGACGTTGAAGCAGAGTTGCCTTTAAGCGCCGGGACGTGAGCGCTTGCATCACAATCAACCGGACGCTGCCTGGGACGTGAGCGCTTGCATCACGATCGATACCAGACGTTGAAGCAGAGTTGCCTTTAAGCGCCGGGACGTGAGCGCTCGCATCACAATCAACCGGACGCTGCCTGGGACGTGAGCGCTTGCATCACGATCGATACCAGACGTTGAAGCAGAGTTGCCTTTAAGCGCCGGGACGTGAGCTCGCATCACGATCAACCGGACGCTGACTGGGACGTGAGCGCTTGCATCACGATCGATACCAGACGTTGAAGCAGAGTTGCCTTTAAGCGCCGGGACGTGAGCTCGCATCACGATCAACCGGACGCTGACTGGGACGTGAGCGCTTGCATCACGATCGATACCAGACGTTGAAGCAGAGTTGCCTTTAAGCGCCGGGACGTGAGCTCGCATCACGATCAACCGGACGCTGCCTGGGACGTGAGCGCTTGCATCACGATCGATACCAGACGTTGAAGCAGAGTTGTCTTTAAGCGCCGGGACGTGAGTGCTCGTATCACGATCAACCGGACGCTGCCTGGGACGTGAGCGCTTGCATCACGATCGATACCAGACGCTGAAGCAGGGTTATCTTAAAAGTGCGTGCCGCCACCAGAATCTTATTGGTTCACTTACTTTGCTTTGTATTGCTTTGCTGGGAGCTTATGAGGAAGCCAGTAGCCGTTGTGCAGCCAGGATGGCGGACGCGTCTGGCCTGATGTAGGCGGAGAAGGCCGAAGAGGACCAGCGCCCCAGCTGTTGCAGAGAGGTGTGGGGGAGCCCCAGCGAGGCCGCGCGCGTGGCAGCGCCTATCCGGAAAGAGTGGGCTGTGTAGAGCTGGGGAGACAATTTACAGAGGAGCAGTAGGGATCTTAGTTGAGCTCTGAACCAGGTTGCTGTCATGGGAAGAATGTCTGGAGTGAGAAATAGAGGTCCGTTAAGATCTCCTTTTTTGCAGCGGAGGCGAGTGTAACGCATCAAGGATTTGTAGGGGCAGAGAGATGTGTCGGAGCAAGCTATTACTAAATTGCAGGCTGCTTTGATTTTTTTGAATGTTTGAGACGGAGGTTGAAATGGTCAGGGGACATTATGTTGGGTGAAAAAGAGCGACCTTTGTGTAATGCTTCCACTACGTCGAGATTATCACACATGACAGAGATCCTCTTTCTCTGCCACGTGTGATTCCACAGCGCGCAGGCCACAACCACTGGGAATATCTTGTGTAGGGCAGAGGAGATGCTCCGGTGGAAAGTAGCGGCCACGCTCGGCAAACCAATGGTCCTGGAAGAATCCCCCAAAACCCACAGAAGGGGCAGCGTCCGTGTAGAAGCGGAGACCTGTAGGGGCAGAGACAATCGGAGAGGGCCATTGATGTTGCAGACGCCCTTACGCTTAGAGTCTTGGGTTGGACCTCCAACCCTAACCGGCCTGGAGGTCCTGGTAGCCCCCACACATGAACATAGCCCCCCTGGAGAACCAGGCCTTTCCCACCCCTCAGCCTACAAGTCAGCCTAAGTGTTTTGCCAAAAAACCTAAGTGTCTATGCTGTAGTACTGGGCTCGCTGTGGCCGAGTGGCAAAGGCGATGGAATGGGGAGTCATTGAGGTTCGAATCCTGCCCACAGCACTTAGAATTATTTTCACATTTGCTTGGAGCACCAGGCCTGTGATGGCTCTATTTCAAGCCGTACTTCAGGGCTTTTTTCGGGGTTAAAACCTCCGAGGACCCACCCTGGGTCTCAGGCTTGCCAGTGCTGCATTTATGTCCGGATTTCTAAGCTTTTTTCGGGGATAGAACCTCCACAGAATCCCCTCGGTTCTGGGACCCGCATGGCCCTATTTTAAGCCGGATTTAAGGGCTTTTTTCGGGGTTAAAACCTCCGAGGACCCCCCTGGGTCTCAGGCTTTCCAGTGCTGCATTTATGTCCGGATTTCTAAGCTTTTTTCGGGGATAGAACCTCCACAGAATCCCCTCGGTTCTGTGACCCGCATGGCCCTATTTTAAACCGGATTTAAGGGCTTTTTTCGGGGTTAAAACCTCCGAGGACCCCCCTGGGTCTCAGGCTTTCCAGTGCTGCATTTATGTCCGGATTTCTAAGCTTTTTTCGGGGATAGAACCTCCACAGAATCCCCTCGGTTCTGGGACCCGCATGGCCCTATTTTAAGCCGGATTTAAGGGCTTTTTTCGGGGTTAAAACCTCCGAGGACCCCCCTGGGTCTCAGGCTTTCCAGTGCTGCATTTATGTCCGGATTTCTAAGCTTTTTTCGGGGATAGAACCTCCACAGAATCCCCTCGGTTCTGGGACCCGCATGGCCCTATTTTAAGCCGGATTTAAGGGCTTTTTTCGGGGTTAAAACCTCCGAGGACCCCCCTGGGTCTCAGGCTTTCCAGTGCTGCATTTATGTCCGGATTTCTAAGCTTTTTTCGGGGATAGAACCTCCACAGAATCCCCTCGGTTCTGGGACCCGCATGGCCCTATTTTAAGCCGGATTTAAGGGCTTTTTTTGGGGTTAAAACCTCCAGGGACTCCCCTTGGTTCTGGGACCTGTCATTGCTCTTTTTCAAGACAGATTTCATGCGCTCTCTCCCGGGGAGAAATGCGCCCACCCTTATTCTTTGAGAATATGTTTGCACTTGTTTTCAACTCCTGGTGGGTTCCATAACCTGAGATTCCACTCACGTCATGGGGACTGGTTTTACATGGTGGGGCCCGAACACCGGACCCCACTGGTCCAAGCTTAATAATCAATGGGTAATGCTTTTCTAACGGTCCTTATGCAGTCTCTGTAAAAATATGGAAAGGACCCCTGGAGGTTTACTTTCCTGAAAAAAGTGTGTTATGTGTCAGAACCCTGGTGGTGGGTTGCGGAATATCAAGGAGGGGCACACTGGGGCAATTTCAGTCCAGCAGGCTGGAGCCAATCATGGAGCAGCACAACAGAGGCTGGAGCCAATCATGGAACAGCACAACAGAGGCTGGAGCCAATCATGGAGCAGCACAACAGAGGCTGGAGCCAATCATGGAGCAGCACAACAGAGGCTGGAGCCAATCATGGAGCAGCACAACAGAGGAAATCAGGTGTCAGGCTAGAAAAGGTGCAAGTGTGTGGTTCATTAGGCTGCAGCCAATCACAGAGCAGCACACTGAAGCGCACGCTTACAAACCACTGGTAAGTGCTGACTACAAGTCATGACTTCAAATTGTTATATAGAATGATTACAAATTATTTGTTGTTTGTGCAGCTTAGTCAAGAGTCCCTAATTGATGAAGTCGACTCAGATTCTGACGATTTAACTGTCAAGAAGAAACCTGTAAAAAAGTATGGAAAAAGAAAAATCAAAAACACTTTTCTTCAAGACTCGGAAAGTGACGAACCAAAGGCAAATAAGATTGTTATCATGCAGCTGCAAAAGAAGAAAAATGGGGGGCGAGTTTACAGCAAGAGACACTTCTGCCTCTACTGTTCAATGTCCTGCCACAAAATGTCCCGTCATTTGACTAGAAAACATGGAAATGAAAGTGACGTAGCCAGAGCATTGGCTCTACCTGTGAAATCTAAAGCACGTAAACTTCACTTTGATTTGATCAGGAATAGTGGAAACCGTGAGCACAATTTTGAGGTTTTAAAGGCCGGCATTGGAACTTTAGTCCCAGCTAAACAGCCAAATTCCCCAGTTAAATCCAGTGAGTTTTTGCACTGTATAGACTGTGGGGCATTGCTTAAGCGAAAGTGGCTGTCGAGGCATGTGGCCAGGTGCCGGCTTTCACAGAAAGATGCCCAGGCTAAACCAGGCTAAACCAGGCTAAACCAGGTAGAAGTAGGGTCCAGTCCCTCTGCTCCCTAGCCCAGCCTGTACCGGAGGGCATCAGCAAAAAGCTGTGGTCTTTAATTTGGGCAATGCATCAGGATGAGGTCACGGGTGTTGTCAAAGCAGAAAAGGGGATTCTGAGACTCGGAGAGCACCTGTACTTAAAACACGGGCATGATAAGACTAAGCATGATTACATTAGGCAGAAAATGAGAGAAGTCGGTAGGTTAATTAACGAAGCAAAAACCGCAGGGAAACTGAAAACAATTAAGGATTTCTTTATTCCTTCCAACTTTAACCATGTGATTGATGCAGTCAGGTCTGTGGCTGGATATGATGAGGAAACAAATCAATACAAGACTCCATCCTTGGCCCTCAAACTCGGCCATAGCCTCAGAAAGCTAGCAGATATTCTTGAATGTGACTCAAAAATGGAGCATTGTGTTGATGAACTATTTATTAAAAACCTCCAACGAAGCCGGCTGCTTTTTGAGAAGAGGTGGGACGTCTGTGTTTCTTCTGCTGCCCTACAGACCCTCCGGCAAGCCAAGTGGAACACTCCGGACCTGCTCCCTCTGACTGAGGACGTTAGAGCCATGCATGCACATATTGAGGTATGTCGACCTGAATATTTGCAAACCCTAATAAGTGAGCCAACGTCTAAGCATTGGTCTAAACTGGCAGTTTTGACTCTTTGTGAGGTCATTATTTTCAATCGAAGAAGGGAAGGTGAGGTTTCAAAGATGCCACTGACAGCGTTTACCTTAAGAAGTAAGACTGGGATCCATTCTGACATTGCTCTGGGACTGTCCGAACTTGAGAAAAAGCTGTGTCAGCATTTTCAACGCATTCAAATTAAAGGGAAAAGAAGTGGGAAAGTGCCGGTTCTTTTGACTCCTGAAATGATTGCTTGGATGGAGGTGCTGGTGGAGAACAGAAGGGCCTGTTCCATCTCTGACCATAACCCATACTTCTTTTCCCGCCCGGGCGCAGACACCCACATCAGGGGATCAGACTCCCTACGGCAGGTAGCCAAAGAATGTGGTGCGGTGCATCCAGAGATGCTATCCTCAACCAAACTTAGAAAGCACAGAGCTACTATGTCTACAGTTCTCAATATGAAAGAGAATGAAATGGACATACTAGCCAACTTCCTCGGCCATGACATTCGCATCCACAGACAATATTACAGACTACCAGAGGGGACACTGGAGCTGGCCAAAATCAGCAAAGTGTTGATGGCCATGGAGCAGGGAAGAGTGACGGAATTCGAAGGAAAGAGCCTCGACCAGATACAAATTGAGCCTGAAGGTAATTCTTGATATTATTAAAATATGTATGATTTTTTTCCCCTAAAGGCCACTTGTATTTTTATTTTCTGTGCGACAGGGAGAGCAGTAGAGATCCTCTCACAAACGGACGGGCTAAAAGAAACTTCAAGCGGAGAACCTTCAACCATTCATCCAGATGCACCCCATGGTAGTGGCAGTGCCCCTTCTGGTAAGTGTACCAGGTGGGGGATTACAGCCAGGCTGCTTGGTCCTAACTCTGGGAGTGTATATTGCTAATATATTTTTATTTCTCTCCCTAGAACGTGTAAGAAAGCCATGGTCTGCATCTGAGGTGAAGGCTGTGGAGAAGACCATGACACCTTTCATACAGACTGGAAAAGTCCCTGGGAAGTCTCACTGCCTGGCCTGCATTAATGCCTCACCAGATGACCTTAGACATCGGACATGGAGTGGCATTAAATTCTATGTCAAAAATAGAATCACTGCAATTCGAAAAAAAAAATCTAAAATAAAATTCCTTTAAAAGAGTTGTTTGTTTTCTATTGACTGTTTTGTATTAATTAAAGTAGTCCCAGTAAAAAAAGATTATGTCTATGGGTCCCATTCTGAACGGCCCTGTCAAAGGGACCCACCAGGTAACAAAAACGTGTATGTGTGGGTGTGCAGAAATAAATGACTTCCCGAGAAGGCCCGGGTTAAAATTACGCTTGTATAGGGATGGGAGAACCACACTGTCTAACCGGCGTTCCAGGGGGTACATACCACGGGTCTCACCGCGAAAGAGCAAGAACCCGGGCTTAAATAGAGCCAAGGGCAGCTCCTGAAGTGGCGGGGTCCTCGGAGGTTTAATCCCCCAAAAACGCGACAAAAACGGGCCTAAATGCACCACTGGCGAGCCTGAGAGCTAGCGTGAGTGTGCGGAGGATTTCTCCCCGAAAAAAGCCCCTGAAATGCGGCTTGATATAGAGCAATGCAGGTCCCAGAATCACGGGCCTAAAGGCCTAAAGGCCTAAAGACCTCCACGAGCACTCGGCAAAACTCAGTGTGCCTGGAACTACGTGGTCTTATTTTCAAGTGTGAAAAAAAACCTAAGTGTTTAGGCTGTAGTACCAGCCACGTTTTGAAAATCAGACTAAGTGTTTTGAGAAAAAAACCTAAGTGAGAGAAAGAAGTAAGCACAAAGTGACAAAAAGTTTGATGGATGACCTTTTGACCTTTAGCCACGCCCCCTCTATTGTCTAAAATAGCACCCTCTATTGTCTAAAAAGCGTGGGAACCCAGAGGTCACAGCGGGTGGGAAAATGTTTTTGTTCAATTTTCCTTTAACCCTTCCGCAGCGGGAGCGTCGGGTGCGACTCGCCAGACATCTCCGCATAAATTACACAATATCTCACGAATGGTAAACAACAGAGACTTACTTTTTGTTTCTGCGTGAAGAGGAGACTTCAGGCTTTCAGAATATAGTTCCGGAATTTCTCTGTGACGCAGGTAAGATAAGCTATGTCTATTGGGAGTTCAGCGTCCAATCACATCTTCATGCGAGTTAAATATCCAATCGTTGTGCGTGTTACTTTGGCATGCTTCTATCTCCCGGTGTGCCAAAGGTTGAAGAGAGCCGAGATGATTATATTATCCGTGTACAATCTTGTTTGTATACATTTATTCATTTACTGATCCGTAAAAGACTGTTATTTCATTGAAAATGTGCAATAAAGTTTACTCCACTGTTTTTCAAGTCACTGCCAGTCCTTTTATGTTTTTATATGTTTTTTATATTTTTATTTCACAAACGGGACCAGTGAAAATTACGTACATGGCGCCAAACGTGAGTCCAGACGCAAATAGAAAGTCACGGAGAAGACGCGCTCGAGAGAAGAAACTAGCTCATCCCGTATTTGTATCCCGTATTTGTATCCCGTGTTTTTTCCGTATCCCGTGTGTCAGACAGAATGGCAAACAGAAACTTGACCGCAGCAGAGGCTCTTGAACTTTTCTATGTGATGAGTGATGTAGATTCAGAATCTGGGGCTGAAAGTTTCTACACGGATGAGGAGAACCAATACCGCGAAGGCGTAGACCCGGCTGAAGAGTAAGTGCCGATTATTTATTTGTGTGTGCGTTTGTTTCTTCTTTATACATGTCAATAAGCACAGGTTGAACCATGGATTTATTATAATAACATATTGTAGACACGCCTGATTGCAGCTAATCTCCATCTATAGTCTCAGGGGGCCTGGGGTCACAGGGGAATTGTATTGATAATAAATACAGTAAAATTATATTATGTGTTTACCTGTTTATTCTAAAGACTAATCTCCATCTATAGTTTACCTGTTTGTTATTATAGTGGTGTATATATATATATATATATATATAATCAGTTCCTTTTGTTTTTCTCATTTTACAGCTGTGATGATGAAGATCTTCCACCCTCTTCAGCATCTCCAGATGCTGAACCTCGTTCACCCAGTGGAGGCCACCACTTCTCAGCACCACCAATCCACACCTTCACCGCTGACCTCCACCACTCCCTCTACTTCAAGGGGCCGTCACATTTCACAGACCAAAAGAAGTGGAGGCCAAAGCAGAGCTGGAGGCCGAAGCAGAGCTGGAGGCCGAAGCAGAGCTGGAGGCCGAAGCAGAGCTGGAGGCCGAAGCAGTGCTGGAGGCCGAAGCAGTGCTGGAGGCCGAAGCAGAGCTGGAGGCCGAAGCAGAGCTGGAGGCCGAAGCAGTGCTGGAGGCCGAAGCAGTGCTGGAGGCCGAAGCAGTGCTGGAGGCCGAAGCAGATCTCCACCACAGCCTGGACCTGTACTTCCTCAAGCCAGCTGGAACAGTGAACTGGATTCCGATGATTGCCACCCGAAAAAGTTCAAGCCCAAAAGGACACCAGGGCACCAGCTTCATGCAGGTACAAATTACAGCCCATTGGATTTATTTTCACTTTTTGTGGACAAAGGTGCAATGGCCAGTCTTTGCACTAATACCAACAAACAGGCTGCAAAAAACATTGCTAGGGGAAAGAAATACATTTGGACGACACTGCAAGAAACGGAGCTATATAAATTTATTGGACTGATTTTTTATTTTTCATTGCTAAAGCTCTCTTGTGTTGCAGACTACTGGAAACAACATTCTATTTTCAGTACACCTTTTCCGCCAAAAGTAATGACCCGGGATCGGTTCCGGATCATCTCATGGAACATACATATGAGTGACCCAGACCAGGATGTTGTCAATGACCAAACAAAGGGAAGCCCACAGTTTGATAAACTTTTCAGACTGAAGCCACTTTTGGACTCAATCCTAACCGCCTGTAAAGCCCACTATAATCCAAGACAAAACATTTCCATTGATGAGAGAATGGTGGCAACAAAGGCCCACACAGGGATGACCCAGTACATGAAAGCGAAACCAACAAAGTGGGGCTTCAAACTCGTTGTCTTGGCAGACAGCTTCAATGGCTACACTGTGGACTTTGTAATCTACACAGGGAAGTCCCAGTTTTCCTCTGGTGTGGGGCTTGCCTACGATTCTGTCATGTCCCTTATAAAGCCCTCATTCCTGGGTAGTGGTTACCACCTGTATGTTGACAATTTCTACACGAGCCCAAAACTTTTCATGGACCTATATAGTATGGGCATTGGTGCTTGTGGAACATACAGGGAAAATAGGAGAGGATGTCCCCGCACCCAAAGTAATGCCCTGGGTAAAAAAGACAAAAGGGGCACAATAAGGTGGATCAGGGAGGGCCCATTGGTGTTTGTGAAGTGGATGGACTCGCGTGAAGTCTCCATCTGCTCCACCATCCATCCTGCTTACACAGGTAAAACAGTGAGGCGGCGCTTCAAAGAAACCGTCGACAACTGGGTCACCAAAGACATTCCCTGCCCACAGCCAATCATGGATTACAATAAGTACATGGGAGGGGTTGATCTGTCAGATCAACTAATTCAATATTACAGTGTTCACCACACCACCAAACGCTGGTACCGGACCCTATTTTTCCACTTCATGGACATTGCAGCCACAAACGCTTACCTTTTGCACAAAGAGTTGAGCCAAGAAAAAGGGGACAAGCCAATGACACACCAAGGCTTTTTAGAGGAGCTGACTGCCCAGCTCTGTGGTGTGTCAGTGATGGTCCCTCCTGTAAAAGCCCCCGCACAACACTTGCCCGTGGCAATATCTGAACAGGAAGACCTGAAGAAGCGGGCATCATACGGGAGGAGAAGCTGTGCTCACTGCAGAGAGACTCGCCACAAAAGACAAGCTACCCCTTGGAAGTGCCTAGCCTGTGATGTGGCTCTCTGCCTCATAGCAGACAGAAACTGCTTCCAGGAATGGCATCAGGAGTAAAACTCTAGGAAGGCTTTTTGTAAATTTGTAATATAGTTATGGTTATGTAATAAGTTGTTTTTTTGCCTTTCAGTGTGTTCTTTTTCAATAAATGTTCGTAAAATTTATTTCTTCATGATTTCATAACTTTCTTTACATTCAAAGGACACCATTACAGTATGCATATTATCTATGATGTGGCTCCCTGCCCCATGACAGACAGAAATTGCTCCCAGTAATGGCATCAGCAGTAAAACGCTTGGGCTTTTTGCACTTATTGTGGAATTTTGTACATTTGTACTATAGTTACAGGTCAAATTTTTTTTCTCAATATCCCCAAGACCCTAAACAACATTGCTACAATGTGTAAGAAGTTGGCATTAGCATTTCAGTGTGTTTTTCCAATAGGTGTGTGTAGAATTGATTTTCCGTTTTTATTTTTTCTATGTCTTCATGACTCCATAACATTTATTACATTCATATGAGACAAGTATAGTATGCATATTATATAAGCCCAGGTTGTACTGAAAAAAACAAAGTATCCTGCTTGACTGTGCATCACTAGATAAGTGTTTTATGAGCAATAATACTACAACAATTCCAGGCGAGGTAAATGCTCCAAAACACCCTTAGACTCTGAAGGGTTAACTTTAATTAAGCAGTGTGTGTGCATCTTTGTTTTCCGGTCGACTGTCCGACTGGCTGTCCTTTAATTCACCTTACAGTACCTATAACTCTTCCTCTACCGTTATTTATGGGGGAATAGCAGTTCTCGTCCAAATCAATTAATAGTTCAAGAAAACATGATTGACAATGAGTTACTGATGAACAGTCCAAGACACATTAAAAATGTTACATTGGATGTAAATACTTAAGAAGAAACGTCTGTTCATCAAGGAGGAACTTTTTATCTCCGAGGTAAAAGCTATCATCAATGCCGCACAAAAATTAAAAAATATTTACACTAAAGACAGGCCAATAACTTTTTTAAAGCATGTTCATTAAAAAAAGTTTGTGTATGCGTCATCAACTTGAAGACAAAAATGCCTACTGCGAAGGAACACTGAAGTATTATTTAGTGAAGACTTTACATCCAGTACAAAAGTTGTGCCCGTCTTGTGACTGTCCATCAGTAACTCATTGTCCGCCATATAATTCAGAGCTTGTGTTATGACAGACTGTTGGGCCACATTTACAAATGCGCCTCACGTAGGCTAAAGTCCTGTAAAGTCAGGATTTTTGGAAGAAAATTCTGACTTTAGGTTTTTTTATGACTGTCCAATGCATCAATACTAGTGTCATCTTGATTGCTGATTCAATTACCATTCAATTTATGTATATCTGCTGTTAGGCAGGTACGTTCTGTAAGCTGTGTAGAATTGACACCTGTTAATACCATTAGAGGCCAACTTGACAAATTTCAAATCCAGGCCATTGAGTGCAGTAGAATTTTTTTTAAATTGTGCTTCTAAATTTTTTCATACATTTTTGAGATACGAGTAAAAAAAAACAAAAACAAAAAAAAGTTGATTTCCGGCCTTGCCACCATACCTGATGTTCTTTAATGACTGCATCCACAGGATCTCCAAGGAATAGCATCACTAACTTCAGTATGTATTGCCTTCGTGTACCTGCGTCCAATGTACCGCTCATGGAAGCCTGTAGAAAAAAAAAAAAAAAAAAAAAAGGATGAAATGTATACTGTATAAAACTAAGTACGTACCTTTTTATTGGATTGATAAAGACACTGAAGTACCTTTAAGTAATATTAAAGGATTTTTTTGGTTAAACTTACTTAAAATGACCCGTTTGTCACATCAGATGCAAGGTCAACTTGTTAAAAATTAAATAGTAGTTTCAAATTTTATTTGGATTGTTTCACGATTTCTTTTTCTTCATCATAACCAATTATATTTATAAAATTTGGCAAGTATCACAGCTTTAAACTCCTCTCTAAGGCAGCAAAGAGTCAGTTCTATTTTGAGGAATTTTAGCCCTTTAACCCCTTAACACCCACCTGAACTATGAACATTTTCTCCAGTTTGGCTCAGCTCAAATCTAAAAACTTCCGGAAAAAACGTCAAAATGGCAACAAATCGAGAAGAAAATGATGAAAATGCAACAAAAATGTGATGAAAAAGACTAAAATGTGACGAAAAAGAGACAAAATGTGACAAAAATGAAACAGAAAAGCCACAAAAGAGCAACCAAAAAAATGACCAATACAGCAACAACGCAAGGAAAAAAGATCCATTTACATCAGTTTTGTAGGTCTTGGCCTTCAAATGAGCTCCAGGCAAGAAGCTTTCAAATTTGGGTAAAGCTGAACTGGAGAAAGTGCACGGGGGGGGGGGGGGGGGGGGGGTAAGTGGTTAACAAAAGTCTTCCAGAACAGAGATTTCTGGGCTGTCAGTCACACACTCTTTTGGAGGTCTGGAAGACTTTTGTTTGAGAGTGAGGGCTAAAACCCTTTAAACTACAACTGAAAGTCTCTTTGCTGCCTAGAAAAGAGTTTAAAGCTGTGATACTTGCCAAATTTGGGGTCTATGAGACATTAATTTTGCAGGGTAACAAAACATTTGCTCCAGCCTTTGTTTCTTTTAACATTTTAAAATGTAAATGATGGAATTAAAACCTTTTTTTTTTTTTTTACTAAAATGCTATGTGAATGTCTCATCTACAAGCTTATGCTTTTTGACAATTGACATATGGTCATTCTATTTTCTCTACATGTACCTGAGAGCGGAGGAGTTTAAGGAGCAGACCATCGTTTTTCAATACTGAGATATGTTCAGACCCGAGCTTACTGACTGAGCGCACGCACAAAGACCAGACAGGTACGCATCAATTTGTCTAAGCTCAGGTAAGAACATGTCTCAGTCTGGAAAAATGGTGGCCTATTCCATTACAGGGTTAACGACAGTGCTGTTCTTAAACTGACCTAAAGGAGAGGCTTAAAGTACAAGATATATACTAGTACTTAAATGTCTACAACATTTAGAAGCGCACTTCGTCAGGACAAATATGCCGTCTAACTGAGGTTACCTCATCAAAATGACGAATTATCTCCGCAGCTTTTGCTCCAGCAGATCCCCCCTTCTTTCTTGAAGCTTCCAGAAGTTTTGAAGCATGTCTGTCAAGTTGTGCGAACAAAGTAGATTCTAATGGGCGAGTGGTGATGCGGACAAACTCTGCATTAACCTTTAAATACAGTAATAAAACGTTAAAACCACTCATACAACTCAATTTTGATTTATATCGTTCAAGTCTAACATACCTCCTCTTCTTGGAAAAGAGCTGGCCATCGCTCCTTTATTTCTTTTGTGCTAGGCTCACTTTGGACAATTTCTTGCCTACGGTACCCAAAGGTTTTTCCCATCTTCATTTTAACAAATTGTCTGTTGTTTCGCTTCTTCATTTCTCCCAAGATGGAAACCCGCTCTTCTTCCATGCTCTCAAGTGTCTCGCCAATTGGCAGAGGAGGAAAATGGTTGACTTCAGCTCTTTTAGGCTTCTTAATGTTTTTAGCTGGCCTGTCTTGAGAGGTTGAGGGCCTACATTTTAAGGAGTTCACACTAACTTCAGGAGATGATCCATGGGCTCTAAGAGTTGACCTGTAGTTTGCCATTTGAACCTTGAGTTTTGACTTCCACCCTTCGATCTCATCAGAACAACCACCTTGTTTGAGACATGGATGCTTCATTATCAAAGCCTTGGCCACATCACCAAAGTCTGCATCATTAGGATAAGCTTTGAATTTGTATATTTCATCTCCAAGTGTTTCCAGGATGTTGGAGAGCATTTTAGTGCTAGGAGTCAGTCTAGTCTGGTTCTTAACATAGCCTTCATTTCCCTTCTGGAGCTGCATTTCTGTGTCATACGAGAAGGCAGGGATGTGGAAAACTTTGGGCCACTGTTGTGTTCTCAATGGTGCTGGAGAGTGGTGAAGTATTATGGTATCGTCAGAATTCCCGGATCCTGAAGAGGACTCTTCACTTTCAGCATGTGTTGACAATGAACTGGCGACAGATGGACTGGCTGAGTGTGGTATTGGAGAACACGGAACATCCACTGGATACAATGTAACTGTCGAATCTGGATCAAGCTCAATGACTTTCAGCACAGTAAGGTCCCCAATAACTTGAGTAGACGTCACATTAACAAATGCATTTCCAAAGTCCACATCTTGGTATTGCAGCCGTATGTACCCCATAACTAAACATTTGTTTTTTACAACTTCAATAAGTTCTTCAACACTCTCTGGAGGACCATCCTCAAGGGTTATTCTCATGCGGTTTTCTTCATTTAAGATGACAAGAAGGCGAACTGGTGCAGAGGATGCCATCTTACCTGAGGGAGAACAAGAAAAAAACTCATTAGAAGTCTGTATAATGCATCAACAATCTTATCACAAAACTTTCACCTTAAACATGCACATATCTTTTGAGGGTTATCATTCTCTTCCCACCAACAAAGTACTCTTGCAATGGATATGGATCGGAGAGTTCACTGACTTCAAGCAGCAGTAATTGTTTTGTGGGACAATTTGCGAGTTCATATGATCGGTAGTGTTCATGGTACCATACAGACAGCTTTTGAACAATAAAAAACAGCTTGTTCTCAACAACCATCATTTCAATAACCACAGTAAAGTAAGTAAGTAAGTTCTGGCATTCCAGCTAGTGAACCATATGCTAGGATCATCCCATTTCTGTAGTTCAGTCCATTGAAAGTTGCATTTTTGGTGACAAAAACAGAATCCATGTCAGGGTATTTCTCCTTAATAGCGACAACAATTTCATCCCGTAAAGCACAAATGGAAAAGTTGGACACATTTGAAACTTCAAGGTTTTGTTTCGGAATGTTGCATACATGGAGTTCATAGGCCATTAGAAACTGGTGTCTTTGCGCCAGGGACATTAAAATATTAAAAAACATACTTTTCAAATTACTGGGCAATTTCAGCAACAAATACAGTCTATGCGCTTGCTATGTTAAAGTTGACACAAAATGGCGACTGCGCTTGACGTTTGAGTAAATCTTCTCATAAGAAAACGTAATCGGTGTTCAAAATAAAACCCTCGATCTAATACTCATATATATAGTATATACATGACGTTGATACACAGATAAATGTATTACAGTAATCCCCAGTAAGGAAGACTTGTACCAAAAACATAGCCTATTACAATAAAACATCTCCAATAGCCTATTTTACGTGCATCTGTGCATACAAAAAAACATTTATTCATTCTACAAGTCTAAATGTACCTTTTAATTACCTTTTACCGCTGAAAAGTGGCACAGTCGTGGGTATGGCCAGGTTCGAAGTCTTGGTCACGTTTGTTGAACGTGGGGGTGGAAGCCTCTGGAGCACATGGTGTGTCATCTTCTGCAGCGTGGTATGGCAGAGTCCAGCGCTGTTATTTTCAGTGCTGCCCCCTGTGTTGGAGGGCTGACTTGGTCCAGCGCATGCGCTAGATGAGCTCGACGAAGAATTGTTCGTTTGATCAATTAACTTTTATAAATTATTACCGATTTGAAATGGACAACTAAATGAACAAACATTTCTTTATCAACACGCAATGTTCAATCTGTATGGTTTTAATTGTAAAGACCAATTTGACTGTCTTTATTTAAAACAATGGCAAAGAACATATTGAATGAACAACAGCACTGTTTTACTTTTTTCAGTGTAGGCTCTTAGCTTTAAACTGCAAAAAACGGCTTGTTTCTACCTTCAACTGTTCTTGAGCAATCTGTCATAGAATATAATATATAGTTTTATCTAAACTTCTGCTCTTACTCTGATTTGGACCTGGGCCACTGCGTTGGGAGCACTGCATCTTAACGACTGGACCACCGGTTCTGTCAGTACAGAGGACGCCCTAGAAAGGGTTTTAAATGTTTATGAAGAACATGGCAAGTTTGGCATCAGACGACAAGTTTAAACCGCCAACTCATCACTGCAGATAGCTGTTGTAGCCTGTACAAGTCGAGCGTTTGTGTCAAATCAGTCGGTCCTCGGGGCCCGGGGCCGGTTTGGGGGCCCCGGGCAGCTGCCTGCCGTGTCAGTTGGCACAGGACGCCTCTGATCACAGATCAGATCATCTCACCAATATTATTCACCATTTCCCTCTAACTGTTCACAAATCAGTAACAGGACTAAAGCAGGTCTAAAGCAGGTCTAAAGCAGGTCTAAAGCAGGACTAAAGCAGGTCTAAAGCAGGACTAAAGCAGAATTAAAGCAGGAATAAAGCAGAATTAAAGCAGGACTAAAGCAGGTCTAAAGCAGGACTAAAGCAGGACTAAAGCAGGTCTAACGCAGGTCTAAAGCAGAACTAAAGCAGGACTAAAGCAGGTCTAAAGCAGGACTAAAGCAGGTCTAACGCAGGTCTAAAGCAGGTCTAAAGCAGGTCTAAAGGTGGTCAAACGCAGGACTAATGCAAGTCCAAAAAAGATTGAAGGCAGGACTAAAGCAGATCTAAAAAGATTGAAGGCAGACTAAAGCAGGTTGCATTTCCCTTATTTGGTCTTTCAAAAAGAGCAGAAGTTCACTTTCACAGTGACGTTGAAAGAGTTTTGAGGAAGTTTGATCAGAGCAGCAGCAATGAAGCTCTTCACTGCAGCGTTTCTGCTGCTTCTGCGGACGACAGGTCAGATATGTGTCCTTTTTATGCCGTAGATTTGGTCCCTCTCTGATTTCTCTCTCTCTGGTCTCTTTCAGGTCTCTCTCTATCTCTGGTCTCTCTCGGGTCTCTCGGGTCTTTATCTCTCTCTCTGGTCTCTCTCCCTCTGGTCTCTCTCTGGTCTGTCTGATAGTGGGGGGAGGCGTGTGATAGTGGGGGAGGTAGGTGAAGGTGGGGGGAGGTAGGTGATAGTGGGGGAGGTAGGTGATAGAGGGGGAGGTAGGTGAAGGTGGGGGGAGGTAGGTGATAGTGGGGGGAGGTAGGTGATAGTGGGGGGAGGTAGGTGATAGTGGGGGGAGGTAGGTGATAGTGGGGGAGGTAGGTGATAGTGGGGGGAGGTAGGTGATAGTGGGGGGAGGGGGTGATAGTGGGGGGAGGTAGGTGATAGTGGGGGGAGGTAGGTGATAGTGGGGGGAGGTAGGTGATAGTGGGGGGAGGTAGGTGATAGTGGGGGGAGGTAGGTGATAGTGGGGGAGGTAGGTGAGGTGATAGTGGGGGGAGGTAGGTGATAGTGGGGGGAGGGGTGATAGTGGGGGAGGTAGGTGATAGTGGGGGAGGTAGGTGATAGTGGGGGAGGTAGGTGATAGTGGGGGGGAGGTAGGGTGATAGTGGGGGGGAGTGATAGTGGGGAGGTAGGTGATAGGGGGGAGGTAGGTGATAGTGGGGGGAGGTAGGTGATAGTGGGGGGAGGTAGGTGATAGTGGGGGGAGGTAGGTGATAGTGGGGGAGGTAGGTGATAGTGGGGGGAGGTAGGTGATAGTGGGGGGAGGTAGGTGATAGTGGGGGAGGGGGTGATAGTGGGGGAGGTAGGTGATAGTGGGGGAGGTAGGTGATAGTGGGGGGAGGTAGGTGATAGTGGGGGAGGTAGGTGATAGTGGGGGAGGTAGGTGATAGTGGGGGGAGGTAGGTGATAGTGGGGGAGGTAGGTGATAGTGGGGGGAGGTAGGTGATAGTGGGGGGAGGTAGGTGATAGTGGGGGGAGGTAGGTGATAGTGGGGGGAGGTAGGTGATAGTGGGGGGAGGTAGGTGATAGTGGGGGGAGGTAGGTGATAGTGGGGGGAGGTAGGTGATAGTGGGGGAGGTAGGTGATAGTGGATAGTGGGGGAGGTAGGTGATAGTGGGGGGAGGTAGGTGATAGTGGGGGGAGGTAGGTGATAGTGGGGGAGGTAGGTGATAGTGGGGGGAGGTAGGTGATAGTGGGGGGAGGTAGGTGATAGTGGGGGGAGGTAGGTGATAGTGGGGGAGGTAGGTGATAGTGGGGGGAGGTAGGTGATAGTGGGGGGAGGTAGGTGATAGTGGGGGAGGTAGGTGATAGGGGGGAGGTAGGTGATAGTGGGGGGAGGTAGGTGATAGTGGGGGGAGGTAGGTGATAGTGGGGGGAGGTAGGTGATAGTGGGGGGGAGGTAGGTGATAGTAGGGGGGAGGTAGGTGATAGTGGGGGGAGGTAGGTGATAGTGGGGGGAGGTGGTAGGTGATAGTGGGGGAGGCAGGTGATTGTTGTCTGGTGTATCACCCAAATAATCCTCACATACAGTTTGTGGTTTGGACGCTGGAAAAGGAAGAAGAGATAAATATGGCACCTTTAAGTTTGAGCTTTGAGTGTGGTCCGCTGCTCAGTGCTCAAAGCCAGAGCTAGGAAGAACAGTTAGCGCTAATGCTAATGCTAACTGTAAAATCTATCCTTTTAAAAATAAATTTCCACTTTACACCATTACTTTCATGAATAACTGTAGCTTAGTAAGAAACATTTGGAAACTTCAGGCAGAAACAAAAACTAAACACAGCTAAAAAGTGCAAATCATCATCAGTAAGTTAAGCTAACAGCAAACGGCTAACGCTAAGTTAGTTATGAACAGGAGCAAACAGACGAGACTGCTGCTGAGAGACATCAGGAGACTCAGGGACATCAGGAGGCTGCTGCTGAGAGACATCAGGAGGCTGCTGCTGAGAGACATCAGGAGACTCAGGGACATCAGGAGACTGCTGCTGAGAGACATCAGGAGACTCAGGGACATCAGGAGACTGCTGCTGAGAGACATCAGGAGACTCAGGGACATCAGGAGACTGCTGCTGAGCTGTTTGTTGCCTCAGTCTCTTTGCTCTGTGCAGATCCGTGTGGACTGAGTTTCATGTGTGTCCACAGAATGTTCTGAGGTGGTGAGAGCAGGAGCAGAGGTGACTTTAGTCTGTGGTGAGGTCCAGCTGCCGCAGACTCAGTGCAACAAGACCACTTGGGTCAAGGCTGAAAAAACTGCAGTGGAGCTCTTCAAACTGGGACGGCCCAACCCCGAAGTGTCCTCAGATCTGTCCAGTCGTCTGAGTCTCACTGAGGACTGTGGGCTGAAGATCCAGGATGTTCAGACTGAAGATGGAGCAGACTATCACTGTCAACAGTACGAGTCTAAAGATGGACCTTTGACCTCTTCTGTTCCTGTGCCTCTGACTGTGGTCTCATGTGAGTGTTGCAGATCATCACTGTGTGTGTGTGTCTGTGTGTGTGTGTGTGTGGGTGTGTGTGTGTGTGTGTGTTTGTGTGCGTGTGTTGGGCTCCACTAGTCCGGGCTTGACTAAATATTATCGTTTGTCATGGTTTGTGGTATGTTGTTCTGTCTGTGTGTTAGTGAGAAAATCCACAGTATTTGCATGTTCTTCCAGTGACTGAGGAAGAGGTGCAGCAGGGTTCCAAGCTCCAGTGTGAGGTCTTTGGGTCTGTGATTGACGTCAGAGTGAGATGGTTGTATACAGGAGGAGTCGTGGAAGCAGGAAACCCAGGTTTGATCATCACAAGCCTGAGGGACAGATCTATCCTCATTGTCCAAAAAGACCATTTTCTTTATAAAGAAGGACATCTGTTCAAATGTGAAGTGATAAAAGGAGGAAAGAGTCACAACTTCAGCTTCACCAAAGAGGCTCCAGGTGAGAGGTCTAAGAACCTTCTCAGCTTCATGGTCCTCACAGTCTATGGTGTGGATGGAGCTAAACACAGCTGCAGGTCTGTGTGTGACGAGGAACAGTGTGTTTCAGGTGACTCCAAGACAGAGGAGCGAGAGGATGAAGAAGACCGGTCTGAGGATCCGGGCTCCGTCTGGTTGTGGCCCCTGGTGTCTGTGGTGTCTCTGCTGCTTCTGGTTGTGGTCGTGCTGCTGGTTGTCTGCAGAGGTGACGTCATCTTTACTCCATGGACCGTGGGGGGCTGCTGGGGGGGGAGGGGGGGTGGATGTGGAGGGGGAAGTCCGGGCGTCTTTGATGCCTCCGTGACCCGGCAACGGATGAAGAAAAAATAAAAAATAAAATAATGTTCTTTTCTGTTACAGCAAAGACTCGAGCCCCGGCCCAAGAGGTCAGAGAAGACCTGCACCAAGAGGTCAGAGGTCACAGAGGTCCCACTCTGTGACCTCTAACCTCTGGGTGTAACTGAGGTCCCACTCAGTTACACCCAGAGGTCAGAGGTCACAAAGGTCCCACTCAGTTACACCCAGAGGTCAGAGGTCACAGAGGTCCCACTCAGGTACACCCAGAGGTCAGAGGTCACAGAGGTCCCACTCAGTTACACCCAGAGGTCAGAGGTCACAGAAGTCCCACTCAGTTACATCCACAGGTCAGAGGTCACAGAGGTCCCACTCAGTTACATCCAGAGGTCAGAGGTCACAAAGGTCCCACTCAGTTACTCCCAGAGGTCAGAGGTCACAGAGATCCCACTCAGGTACACCCAGAGGTCAGAGGTCACAGAGGTCCCACTCAGTTACACCCAGAGGTTAGAGGTCACAGAGGTCCCACTCAGTTACACCCAGAGGTCAGAGGTCACAGAGGTCCCACTCAGTTACACCCAGAGGTCAGAGGTCACAAAGGTCCCACTCAGTTACACCCAGAGGTCAGAGGTCACAGAGGTCCCACTCAGTTACACCCAGAGGTCAGAGGTCACAGAAGTCCCACTCAGTTACATCCACAGGTCAGAGGTCACAGAGGTCCCACTCAGTTACATCCAGAGGTCAGAGGTCACAGAGGTCCCACTCAGTTACATCCACAGGTCAGAGGTCACAGAGGTCCCACTCAGTTACATCCACAGGTCAGAGGTCACAGAAGTCCCACTCCGTTACATCCACAGGTCAGAGGTCACAGAAGTCCCACTCAGTTTCAGAACATTTGATTATAACATTTACAGTTTTTTCCTGCTGCTTGAACACCACAGACACACGCTTAAACCACAGTTACAGAACCTGAAGCTTTTCTTCTAAACCTAAAATACAGTTTAACCATTCCTTAAACAACTGCTTTGCACTTTACTTTCATTTCTGTAACACACTTTCTCCTTCTGCAACACATTCTCCTTCTGCAACACTTTCTCCTTCTGTAACACACTTTCTCCTGCTCACTACACACTGTGTCATACATAAGACACTTTGTTCATAAATGCAATCCTGAGTTATCGTTGGGAAAACACATCTATTCAAAATACCAAACACATTGTGTGATTGATAACACTGAGACACACTTAAACAGTGACTTACAAAACACGACACACATCAGTCAGACACAAAGATACCTTAGTTTAGACATTTTCAGAACTTTGCAAGTTTGAGGCAGGAAGAACAAGAGAGAGGAAGAGGAAGACGAGGAGATAAGAGGAGGACGTGGTTGAAGATAATTTTGATGAGATTAGAGAAACTTTGGAGGATCATGTGATGAACCATGACCTCACACTGAAGGAAGAGAGTCCAGACACAGAACCATCATCAGGACCTTCAGATGGAAACATGTCTCCAACATGTACTGTAACTCTGTACTGCAGACTGTATCTGCAGTATTTACAGTACTGTACTGTATCACATGTACTGTAACTCTGTACTGCAGACTGTATCTGCAGTATTTACAGTACTGTACTGTATCACATGTACTGTAACTCTGTACTGCAGACTGTATCTACAGTATTTACAGTACTGTACTGTATCACATGTACTGTAACTCTGTACTGCAGACTGTATCTACAGTATTTACAGTACTGTACTGTATCACATGTACTGTAACTCTGTACTGCAGACTGTATCTACAGTATTTACAGTACTGTACTGTATCACATGTACTGTATGGCAAGTTGGCTTTTGCTCCTTTTGAAAATGTGTAGTTTTGTGAAACATACGAGATAGTAAAGTACATAGTACTGAGATGTCACAGTACTGTGTACTTTACTGTCTTGTATATCTTGTAGGACAAACAAGAATGTAGCGACATTTTGCAAAATGTTTTCAAGCAACAGGAAAAAACTGTGAGATCAGGTATTTTGTTTCAGACTGAACCTGAGGATGGTGTGTCCTACGCTGAAGTCCACTACAGGAACCAGAGACCACAGGTAAGACCAGGACTGAGACCAGGACTGAGACCACAGGTAAGACCAGGACTGAGACCAGGACTCAGACCACAGGTAAGACCAGGACTGAGACCGGGACTCAGACCACAGGTAAGACCAGGACTGAGACCAGGACTGAGACCACAGGTAAGACCAGGACTGAGACCAGGACTGAGACCACAGGTAAGACCAGGACTGAGACCAGGACTGAGACCACAGGTAAGACCAGGACTGAGACCAGGACTCAGACCACAGGTAAGACCAGGACTGAGACCAGGACTCAGACCACAGGTAAGACCAGGACTGAGACCAGGACTGAGACCAGGACTGAGACCACAGGTAAGACCAGGACTGAGACCAGGACTGAGACCACAGGCAAGACCAGGACTGAGACCATGACAGAGACCAGGACTGAGACCACAGGACTGAAACCAGGACTGAGACCACAGGACTGAAACCAGGACTGAGACCAGGACTGAGACCACAGGTAAGACCAGGACTGAGACCAGGACTGAGACCACAGGTAAGACCAGGACTGAGACCAGGACTGAGACCACAGGTAAGACCAGGACTCAGACCACAGGTAAGACCAGGACTGAGACCAGGACTGAGACCAGGACTGAGACCACAGGTAAGACCAGGACTGAGACCAGGACTGAGACCAGGACAGAGACCAGGACTGAGACCACAGGACTGAAACCAGGACTGAGACCAGGACTGAGACCAGGATTCAGACCACAGGTAAGACCAGGACTGAAACCAGGACTGAGACCACAGGACTGAAACCAGGACTGAGACCAGGACTGAGACCACAGGTAAGACCAGGACTGAGACCAGGACTGAGACCACAGGTAAGACCAGGACTGAGACCAGGACTGAGACCACAGGTAAGACCAGGGACTCAGACCACAGGTAAGACCAGGACTGAGACCAGGACTGAGACCAGGACTGAGACCACAGGTAAGACCAGGACTGAGACCAGGACTGAGACCAGGACAGAGACCAGGACTGAGACCACAGGACTGAAACCAGGACTGAGACCAGGACTGAGACCAGGATTCAGACCACAGGTAAGACCAGGACTGAGACCAGGACTCAGACCACAGGTAAGACCAGGACTGAGACCAGGACTGAGACCAGGACTGAGACCACAGGTAAGACCAGGACTGAGACCAGGACTGAGACCACAGGTAAGACCAGGACTGAGACCAGGACTCAGACCACAGGTAAGACCAGGACTGAGACCAGGACTCAGACCACAGGTAAGACCAGGACTGAGACCAGGACTGAGACCAGGACTGAGACCACAGGTAAGACCAGGACTGAGACCAGGACTGAGACCACAGGCAAGACCAGGACTGAGACCATGACAGAGACCAGGACTGAGACCACAGGACTGAAACCAGGACTGAGACCAGGACTGAGACCACAGGTAAGACCAGGACTGAGACCAGGACTGAGACCACAGGTAAGACCAGGACTGAGACCAGGACTGAGACCAGGACTCAGACCACAGGTAAGACCAGGACTGAGACCAGGACTGAGACCAGGACTGAGACCACAGGTAAGACCAGGACTGAGACCACAGGTAAGACCAGGACTGAGACCAGGACTGAGACCAGGACAGAGACCAGGACTGAGACCACAGGACTGAAACCAGGACTGAGACCAGGACTGAGACCACAAGTAAGACCAGGACTGAGACCAGGACTGAGACCACAGGTAAGACCAGGACTGAGACCAGGACTCAGACCACAGGTAAGACCAGGACTGAGACCAGGACTGAGACCACAGGTATGACCAGGACTGAGACCAGGACTGAGACCACAGGTAAGACCAGGACTGAGACCACAGGTAAGACCAGGACCGAGACCAGGACTGAGACCACAGGTAAGACCAGGACTGAGACCATGACAGAGACCAGGACTGAGACCAGGACAGAGACCAGGACTGAGACCACAGGACTGAAACCAGGACTGAGACCAGGACTGAGACCAGGACTGAGACCACAGGTAAGACCAGGACTGAGACCACAGGTAAGACCATGACAGAGACCAGGACTGAGACCAGGACTGAGACCAGGACTGAGACCAGGACTGAGACCACAGGTAAGACCAGGACTGAGACCACAGGTAAGACCATGACAGAGACCAGGACTGAGACCAGGACTGAGACCAGGACTGAGACCAGGGCTGAGACCAGGACAGAGACCAGTACTGAGACCACAGGTAAGACTAGGACTGAGACAGGACTGAGACTAAGACATAAACCAGGACTGAGACCAGGACTGACACCATGACAGAGACCAGGACTGAGACCAGGACTGAGCCTAGGACTGGGACCAGGATAGAGACCAGGACCAAACCCAGGACTAATCCCGGTCTATAATCCCTGTTCTCAGCTCAGACACAGTGAGGATGCAGTGACCTACAGTTCAGTGAAAATAAAAACCCGTGAGGATCAACTTTACGCTACCGTCAACAAACCCAACGAGAGCCGCTAACCACCTCCTGCCCAGAGCTCTGACTGCAGACGCTACTCCCTCACCTGCCCCAGGCCAGGACCGTGCCCTATTGGGGTGTGTAGTTGGGAGTTCTTAAAAATACTATAACAATTATCAAATGATTACAGACTGCCCCCAATGCAAGCAGTTCCATTCCAGCTCCAGACCTTTGTGTGTGGAGTTTGCATGTTCTCTCTGTGTCTGCATAGGTTTCCTCCAGGTGCTCCGGTTTCCCCTACAGCTATAAACTTGTACAATAGGTCTGACACATGGGGGACCAGCTCCATCAGTGTGTGGAGTCAGAGACAAATGCCCACAACTGTAAAGTGCTTTGTGACTCTGGTCTGTGAAAGGCGCTATATAAATAAATAATCCACCTGTTCCACGAGGACCGCCTTGTGTTTCCCTTTCATAAACTGCCACAAACTGTCTCATGACTGCTGTATGGAAATATCAACACGGCACACGTTTGGCATCACAACTGTGTCTCCAAATGTGTACTGTATTGTATTGTATATGTGTGTAACTGCAGAGAGGTAAAATGAGGCTGTAGATCCAGGACTGAGGTTGTATGAAGTAGTAATTATCAGAAATGTGATGTAGATGTTCTAGTTATTTATATGTATGCCATTTCCTAGTTTGGGACTTCCTGTTACTCACAAAAGCAATACAAATAATTCTGATTCTGTTTCCTCTTTATCGACACACCTCCTTTAACTATACACGTTTTCTTTATGTTCACTGCTGTAGTTTTATGCAGTTATATATACGTACATACATTTTATATTAGTGTTGTTTATTATTATCCATTATATACATTAAAAACAATAATACAGTTTTATTACGACTGGATAAAATAGTAGCTCCAGCGCCACCATTTCTGTGAAAGTATCTCTCAAAAACAAGGAGTTTTGGAGATTCCTAGTTTAGCAGCAAAGCAGTCACTGGGCAGACGTCACCATCGTGGGTCGTTACAAAACTTCTGCTTTCTGCAAAACTGCTGCATCAAAAGCAGAAGTGACTCAAAGACGAGAGAAAAAAGCAGTCTGAGAAAACAAAAAACAACTTTAAACGTTACTTTAAAGTTGTAGAGACGTTAACTGAGGCTGTAGATCCAGGACTGAGGCTATAGACCCAGGACTGAGGCTGTAGACCCAGGACTGAGACTGTAGACCCAGGACTGAGGCTGTAGATCCAGGACTGAGGCTGTAGGTCCAGGACTGAGGCTGTAGACCCAGGACTGAGGCTGTAGATCCAGGACTGAGGCTGTAGATCCAGGACTGAGGCTGTAGATCCAGGACTGAGGCTGTAGATCCAGGACTGAGGCTGTAGATCCAGGACTGAGGCTGTATAGAGGACTCAGAGTGTGTACTTTTGATCTCATAATAACAGTTTGTGTATAGTTTTGTTTAATTATAATTATGTAAACCTTTTAATAAATAATGTTTATCTTTGAGAGATGCTCTAAAATGTCACTGTGCATTAAAAAAATATCATAAAATAAAATAAGTAATTCTGAAAATAATTTTCATTAATGGATTGAAAGGCTGTGGAGGAGGCTGTGGAGGAGGCTGTGGAGGAGGCTGTGGAGGAGGCTGTGGAGGAGGCTGTGGACGAGGCTGTGGAGGAGGCTGTGGAGGAGGCTGTGGAGGAGGCTGTGGACGAGGCTGTGGAGGAGGCTGTGGAGGAGGCTGTGGACGAGGCTGTGGAGGAGGCTGTGGAGGAGGCTGTGGAGGAGGCCGCACTCGTCGAAGCCTCTTCTGGGGAAAATAAATAAATAAATCAATTTGTAAGATCAAAGTGTGGAGCGTGGATGAAGAGGAAAGTGGAAGGATCTGAGCCCGAGTGCACTGATCAAAAGACACGACACGTCTGATTAAAGTCGCACTAAACCGCCGGAGCGAACACACACACGAACACACACAAACACACACATGGACACGCAAACACGAGAGCAGGAAGAGGACGTTTACTCGGCAGCTTTAGAAATACTGTGGTACAATATATACGTTCTCCGTTGTCATTATCAAACATGCCGCGCTGTAATGGTCTGTGTTCGTGTGACAGAGTCTGTAGTTTCAGTTTCACATCTCAACAACTCTCCTGGTAACTATGGTAACTATGGTAACTATGGTAGAGTCCACCGTCAGATAATAGTCTGAGTTTGGAGCCAATTTCTTTAAAAAAAATTCTGGAGCACTCAACATGAAACAAAACTGCCACAAAGTTAAATACTATTGCTACTACTTCTCCTAATAATAATAATAATAATAATAATAAAAATAATAATAATAATAATAATAATAATAATAATTTAAGCAGTAACAATATCCTCCCTTCATAAATTGTCATGTAATTTATCCGAGGGAATCCTACGGCGTTCCTAGGTCAGCTGAGAGACAAGTGAGACCCGGTTTTACAAGCTCTACTCTACTCTACTCTACTCTACTCTACTCTACTCTACTCTACTCTACCAAACTCTACTCTACTCTACTCTACTCTACTCTACTCTACCCTGATCTACCAAACTCTACTCTACTCTACTCTACCCTACCTTACTCTACTCTACTCTACTCTATCCTGATCTACCCTACTCTAGTAGTAGTAGTAAGTAGTAATCTTTATTTATATACCGCCTTTTCACTGCAGATCTGAGTCTCAAAGCGGTTTACAATTGTTAATTATGGGCATTTGTCTCTCACTCCACACAGAGATGGGAGCGGGGTCACCAGTACAGGAGGCGCATGCCAGACATGCCTATTGGACATATTTTTAGTGGTAGGGGAAACCGGAGTACCAGGAGGAAACCTACGCAGACACGAGGAGAACATGAAAACTCCACTCAGAAAGGCCCTGGTCCGACCGGGATTCGAACCCAGGACCTTCTTGCTGAGAGGCGAGAGTGCTATCCACTCAGCCACCGTGCCGCCCACTACTCTACTCTACTCTACTCTACTCTACTCTACGCTAGTCTACCCTACCCTACCCTACTCTACTCTACTCTACTCTACTCTACTCTACTCTATTCGACTCTACTCTGCACTACTCTGATCTACCCTACTCTACTCTACTCTACTCTACTCTACTCTACTCTATCCTGATCTACCCTACTCTACTCTACTCTACTCTACTCTACTCTACTCTACTCTACCCTACCCTACCCTACCCTACTCTACTCTACTCTACTCTACTCTACTCTACTCTATTCGACTCTACTCTGCACTACTCTACTCTACTCTACTCTACTCTATTCGACTCTACTCTGCACTACTCTACTCTACTCTACTCTACCCTACCCTACCCTACTCTACTCTACTCTACTCTACTCTACTCTACTCTACTCTACTCTACTCTACTCTATCCTGATCTACCCCCTACTGTACTCTACTCTACTCTACTCTACCCTGCTCTGCTCTACTCTACTCTACCCTACTTACTCTACTCAACTCTACTCTACTCTACTCTACTCTGATCTACCCTACTGTACTCTACTCTACTCTACTCTACTCTACCCTACTCTACTCTACTCTACTCTACTCTACATTACTCTAATCTACTCTACTCTATTCTACTCTACTCTACTCTACTCTACTCTACATTACTCTAATCTACTCTACTCTACTCTACTCTACTCTACTCTACTCTACTCTACTCTACTCTACTCTACATTACTCAAATCTACTCTACTCTACTCTACCCTGATTGGGAGTTTTTCCACTGGCCCTGTTTAACCAGTGCCAGGTCCTACTTTAGTCTCTCTTGGTCCTTGTTCTATCCAGGCCCGAGCTGGTACTAAAGTGTTCTAACTGACAGTAATTGGCCAGAGTGCTGCTGGATGCCGTGGTTACCAAGGACTTTTTTTCCAGATAGTGTTTTTTTGGGTAGGTTGCTAGGATACTGTACCAGATACTGAAGTGTAACGGAATCACAACTGGGTAGAGTAGAGTAGCCCCTGGTCTCCTCCTGGTGCGAGACGCCTGGTACACCAGAGAGGCGTCCAGGAGGCCACCTTAACCCTCTATGCACATGGGTCATTTTGGGGAACTTTCCTCGCCTGGTTTTCTTTGTGTATAATTGTTCATAAAACAGTCATCTTTTGATGCAGAGTCAAGCAGTAGACTTTGTTTTTTTTCAGTACAGCCTGGGGTTTTAGAATATTCATATTGTAAAGCTGTCATATGAATTATATAAAAATTATGGAATCATGAAGACAAAGAAAAAAATCTAACGGAAAATCAATTTAACAAAAATGTATTGAAAAAACACAATGAAATGCTATAAACAACTCTTTACACTGCATAGAAATGTTAGAGACTTGGGGATAATGGGGGGAAAAATTGAATCTCTAACTATTATACTTTTTACAAAATTCCACTATAAAAGCAAAAAACTCTGTACTCCTGATGCCCTTCCTGAAGCAGTTTGTCTATAATGCTGGGGTTGCTTCTGTAGTACAGCTGTAAAAAACGTAAAACATAAGAAACTGAGCCAAAAAAAAAAAACATCAATTATTTATATAATACATATATTTATATACATCATATACACATAATATTTTACTGTATTTATTATCGTCTTTATCAATAATGCGCACTCTTCAGCCGGTTATTGCAATTGCAGCTGTAGTTTCAACTGTGGGAGAACAAGTACACGCAGAGGAGTGAGAGATCTCACTCTCTGACGATCTTTGGCAGTCCCCGTGTGTTTGTATCTCACAGCTGTTTGTACCTCACGGGTCACGCTTTGGACACGGACTTTCAGACAAACGTAGTTTATCCTCCGTGCATCGCACAGACAAATCAAAACTAGTTTCGGAAAGCCCTGAATACGTACTTCACAGAGGAAAAAAAGTAAGTTGCTACGTTTTACCGTTCGCGAGTAAATTGATCATTTGTAAAACACGTGCGCATGCATCGGCGCCGATGCACGCGGGCATATAGGGTTAACTGGCTCCTCTCTACATGGAGAAGCAGCGGCTCTACTCCAAGCTTCTCCCATGTGACTGAGCTCCTCCCCCTATCTCTAGGGGAGCACCCAGCCATGACCCTACAGAGGAATAACATCTACAGATTCACAAGAGCAGGTTTACAGGACGTCGCGTTTGTTCTTTCATTCAATTATACTTATACCCAGAAAGGAACCAAATGGGAAACTGACGACTTTGGATCACGGCTGTCTGTAAAAACAGGAAGAAACAAGAGTTGCAAGGTGTTGTAAGAGGGAGCAGCGTCTCCAGACTGAGCACTACGTCCCCTCCCTCACCTCTACTCATGAGCTTTGGGTGATGACCGCAGATTCAAGAGTGGAGCTACATTAAAGATAGAGGGAGGAGTCTCTCACTCTCTGGTCTCTCTCTCTGGTCTCTCTCTCTGATCTCTCTCTCTTGTCTCTCTGGTCTCTCTCTCTGGTCTCTCTTTCTCAGAGGTAGGGTGAGGATCTCAGTCACACAGGAGGAGCTTGGAGTAGAACCGCTGCTCCTCCACGTGGAGGTGTTCTGGGCATGTCCAACTGTGAGGAGACCCAGAAACAGCCTCAGTACAGCCTCAGTCCTGGATCTACAGCCTCGGTCCTGGGTCTGGATCTACAGCCTCAGTCCTGGGTCTGGGTCTACAGCCTCAGTCCTGGTCTTTAGTCCGACGTCTCTGAATAAAAGATAAACCGTGAACATGACGACCTCGTTCTCTTTTACGGCCGTTCCTCGTTCGCTCCGGTCGATGATGGACGAGTCTCGCCCTCTGGCTGCAGATGTGTTTGTGACATCAGCCAAACCAGTCGTAAAAATATAATAAAGCTTTGCTGGTAATGGATTGATTAACGCGGTGGCGGCTGCCCTGGTCTCAAGTGGTGTTAATTAGAAACATAAATCTGACCGTGCCCTTGGAGCCGCAAGAGCAGGAACTAGAGGAATGTGCACTTTTCAAATGTCTTTCGGAAAGAATGTCTGGTTTTAACACTTTTTGATAATGATCCACATCCCTTCGCCTGTCTGTGTTGGTCTGTTTGATTAATGTCTATGTTTTCTGTTCACACGTCGGTAATTGCTGCTGTTTGGAAGGTAAAACGGTCTCAAACAGTATTGGATGTTTGGACCCCAGAAACCGGCCTGAGATCTGGGCGACCCTGACCTGGACTTGTGGTCTGCAAGCCTCTTCAGTCCTCGTTCTACAGTCTAGAGTCCTGGATCTACAGCCTCAATCCTGGATCTACAGCCTCAGTCCTGGATCTACAGCCTCAGTCCTTGATCCACAGCCTCAGTCCTTGATCTACAGCCTCAGTCCTGGATCTACAGCCTCAGTCCTGGATCTACAGCCTCAGTCCTGGATCTACAGCCTCAATCCTGGATCTACAGCCTCAGTCCTGGATCTACAGCCTCAGTCCTTGATCTACAGCCTCAGTCCTGGATCTAGAGCATCAGTCCTGGATCTACAGCCTCAGTCCTGGATCTACAGCCTCAGTCCTGGATCTACAGCCTCAGTCCTGGATCTACAGCCTCAGTCCTGGATTTTCAGCCTCAGTCCTGGATCTGCAGCCTCAATCCTGGATCTACAGCCTCACTCCTGGGTCTACAGCCTCAGTCCTGGATCTACAGCCTCAGTCCTGGATCTACAGCCTCAGTCCTGGGTCTACAGCCTCAGTCCTGGATCTACAGCCTCAGTCCTGGATCTGCAGCCTCAGTCCTGGATTTTCAGCCTCAGTCCTGGATCTGCAGCCTCAATCCTGGATCTACAGCCTCACTCCTGGGTCTACAGCCTCAGTCCTGGATCTACAGCCTCAGTC